GAGTGTGTGTGATGTGAGTTTATGTGTGTGTTTGTGCATGGCATATGTGTGTGTGTGTGTGTGTGTGTGTGTGTGTGTGTGTGCGTGTGTGTGATTGTGTGCGGTCGTGCGTGCACACGCGCATGTGTTGCGTATGTTATATGTGAGTATATATATGATATGTGGCTGTGTGCGTGTGTGTGTTGTGTGGTGCGTGGGTGTGTGTGTGTGTGTGTGTGTGTGTGTGTGTGTGTGTGTGTGTGTGGTGTGTGTTGTGTGTAGTGTGTGTTGTATGTATGTATATTGTATGTATATGTATATATAATATATTATATATATATATTATATATATGGTATAATATATATATATATATATAATATAGTATATATATATTATATATATATATGTATATTATGTGTATGATGTGTGAGTGTATGTTGTGTGTTGTGTGTGTGTGTGTGTATATGTTGTGTGTCGTGTGTGTATATATGTGTGTGTGTTGTGTGTTGTGTAGGTGTGTTCTATGCCAATGCTGTATATAATGTATGTAAGTAGTATGTATATGTGTAATATTGTATAAATAAAATTATATCCAATATATTGTGAAGTATATATATATATATTATATATATATATGATATGCTATATACTAATTATATATTATGTATGATTTATCTGGATATATAGTGTATTATGTTGTGTGTGGATGTGTGTGTGTGTGTGTGTGTGTGTGTGTGTGTGTGTGTGTGTTTGTTGCACGTGTGTGTTGTGTGTACATATATAGATAGATAGATAGATAGATAGATAGATAGATAGATATAGATACATATATTCATATATTTTGTGCCCCTTGATACACTCATACCGGCAAATTTCATCAAAGTATCTCACGAAAACAGTTAATGGAGATGATAACTGCTGGTGTTTATCGAGCCTATAACACGTGGATTGCTGACACGATCCATGGGAAGCCGAATGCAAATCAGGATGAGAAGATTGCCGCCACAAAACAGGTTGTAAGTGAGCAGCTCGTGGGGAGGTCAGCCAACAGCGTTCGTGTGGGGTAAATATAGTTTGCACTTTTTTTTTTTTTTTAACGCTGTGTCTCACCGGTGCCTCGCCTCCATGCACTCTTTTCTTGGGAGTGTTCCATGTGCTCTTCGCTGGTTGGTAGTGCCATGCAGGTCTCTCTTTCTTGCCTCTCGCAGCCAGTATTGTTGCTTGAGCTGGAAGGCTGCCTCAGGGGTGGTGCTTACACTCCCTGTTTTCTTCTTTTTCTTTGTTTTTCTTTTTTCTTTTCTTTTTTTCTTTTTTTTTTTCTTTCTCTAAAGATTTGTAGACTTTTCTTTTGCCTGTATTCTTAAGGATATTGTTGATATCCTTTAAAGGGGAACATCTTGTAAATTGTTCATAGGTGAATTTTCTGTGCTTAGGCATCACTTTTTTTTCTCTTTTTTCCATTTATTTTATTCTATATCCAAATACAACAAACAGGAAGTTTAGGATTTACAGAGAAAAATGCCATATATGTATGAAATTTGGATGGTGATATTTATAAACAATACAGAAATATTTTAAACTTTATTAATTAAATCTCAGCAGTTCTAGTACACATGAATGACTTGTTTTACCCATATCTTAAAGTCAGGGAAAAGATGTAGGATTTTTGTAACTCCATGAAATGAAATGTTTATTGGAATTCTAACTGATTTTGCATTCTGCATTTCATAATAACGAAAGTTTGTATGTGATTATTATCATTTTTTAAGGATAGTCACATGATGTTCCCCATAACAAGTTATAAAAGAACCAAAGTTCATTGGAAATTTGTTTTGCTTCTGATGAACTGCATCAGAGAAAATATTAAATGAATAAAAGCTATGTAGATGGAAAAAAATGAACAATACAGTTGGAAAGATTAAGCAAATCAAGGAAAGTAGATTCCAAAATAAGATTTTTATTTTTTTTTTTATTATTTTTGTTCTTTTTTATCTTGTTTTTGAGGCAGGCTCTTCCCTTCTGGCTTATGGCAAGGCTGTGTACCATTTCCTTCAATGTCAGAATGAATACTGACATTGTTAGCTGATTCATTGTCTAATGTTGTATATTACTCTGACCAGCTCATGTAGTTCCGTGTGATTAACATGTTGAATATCTTTATAAGCAGTGATGTGTGTGGTTATTTGCAAATATAGCAGTTTGTCATGTGTATTAAATACATTATTGTCTACTGACTCGAATGTTTTGATATTATAATTTTTCCTTAGGCTCTAACATAGTGACTCACATTGATTATGCTGATTATGTAAGTACTTATGTAATGCTAGAATGATATTGTGAAGAAGACAAGGGCAAAAGTTTGTACATTATCTATTCATGTTTTTATTTATGTCTGGGTCCCTGATTATTGTGTTGTGTCTATAGACATACATGTATATATGACTATAATAGTCAGTTGTGTCATGATTTTTACCTGTGTCCTCTGTATTATGATTTTTTAATCTCAGTTATTGGCTTGTCCTCATATTTTCTCAGTTATTTAACTCTTATAGATATTCTTACTGATTTTCTTATTCTTCGTATGTGGTAGTATTTTTTTCCAGCATATTTAAGAACTGACCTGACCATGTTTATTGTCTTAACTGTATGTACCTTTTAGGCAATATAGAATAAGAGCTTTGCCCTGAGTGAAACCATTTTTTATTCAACAGGTGATATTAATCTATTGTATGGTTATTATCCCTTGGGGGATCAAAGGGATATACCTTGGTCTAAGGTTGGCTTTCCTTGTCCCTGGTATTGAAATGTACATATTATACAGGATTTTTCCACATCTCCATTATGAATTACATTGTATTGAGATAGATGGACAGGTTGACCTTTTTGTTTAAATTGCCATCTTTGAAATGCTGTGTAGGGTGAAATGTGGCTATTTTTCCACAGCATGTTCATTTGCTGGTAATGTGAAGGTCTATCTGACTTTGCTGATAGTCTGTCAGGCCTTCACATAGTCTTGCTATTGGGCAGTACAACAGCAAATGGTCTGTGTCCTGAGCTGCTTCTTGGTATGCAGGACAGAGAGGGGAATCATATGGTCCCTACAGCAATACATGTTCATTGCTGCTCTACCATGGCATGACAATTGTCTTTCTGACAGGGTCCATTGTTTTCTGGTTGTAGTGTAAAATCTTAGCACAGGTTTTGATAGGTTTTGAATCAGGCCTCTGGCCCATGGAACTTTCTTTTGCCATTCATGTAGCCAAACTGTTGCAAAGTTTCCAAGAATTCATTCTGGAGGGAGCTGGGACCAAACATAAACTGCATTGGGTATTTAGGTATCATCTATCAGAAATGCATATCTTTTGAGTTGCTTATTTCTTCTTTTATTTTCTTCCGTTATAAGGGAAGTGATTGAGCTCATTTAGGTTGTTCTGCTCCAGTTATTTGTTCACTTTGTTTGGATTTTTCTTGTTTTTAGCTGTGGACTCGTTAATACTATACTGAGGCACAATATTGTGCTAAAGTTTGATGTAAATGTTTTCCAAGTTGTTTTGGCAGGTTTTCTTGTGTCATTGTTCCTCATTCTCAGATTTAGTTCTTTGTTTTGAATATTTGTCATGCAGGCAAGGGTCTGGTTCAATGTTACTTAAAGATATTTTGAGTAGAATTCTGCTATCAAGGGTTGGTTGTTTTTATGTTGTTTAGTTTGTTCCATGTATCCACCATGTCCAGAATGTCTGCATTTCCAAATTTCAGAACTGTTCCAGGTGTGTCATTGGTCAAAACATTGAAATGAGTTAGGGCCAGTCAGTAGGTAACTGTTTTCCTAAGATTGCAGCATCTTTACTAAAATATCCTTGGAAAATATCTTGTCCCAGTCATGTTCTTCATAATATCAAATGCCATATCTGAATAAATTTTATTGTTCTGATCAGCTTAGTGTAATAAGTCTGTTTCACCAGACTGTATCCTAGGCTGCTGACAGGCCTGTGAAGATTGCTCTGATTCCTACTTTTCTCATAGCTTATGTCTATGTAGAATGTCAAGCAAGAACTTGTTTTGAAGTATCTCTTTTTGGTCTAGGTAAGATTCATGTGATTCTTTCAAGAAGATAGAAAGGGTCAGTCTACACTGGATGTGATTATAACTATATTTTTTCTATGTCTTCAGATAAGTGGATACTTGCTTTTGATGTTGATATCTGTCATGGCCATGGCCAGCCACTATATGTTTTGTTTTCCAAGGTGACAAATATTTCTGGGTAGATCCTGCCAATTTTCATGTCTTCAAGCTTTTCACAGGAGCTTTGGTGTTGTGAGTTGTTTTTTCATATCTGTAGAAATGGGTGTTGGACAGGGTCTAGTCCTTGTCATAGCTTAATTTTGCAGGAGTTTCCAGGCATGTCTAGATCTGCCAAAGCTCTTGGGTTGTTCTCTCAGGCCAGCTGCATTTGTGACCTCTGGGTTGTGGGTTTGCTTATATTTCTCCTAGATTTCTTCCTCTCTAGATGACCAACAAAGAATGTAAAGGGATCTATACCCTGTATGATTGTATTTACTGGCATTTTTGGAAAATGTGTTTGATCTATTAGACCTACAATAATGATGACCTTTGTGTAATACACTGAATATTGATTGATAAAATGTGTGTAAAAAGACGAAGAAAAGGATTTTTTGCCCCTGTAGCAGAGATGCTACTGTATATTTCTATGCACTGACTTCTCTTTCATAGATATAAATAGTTTGAACTAGTCTAATATCATTAATAAACATGTGTTTTTAGTTGCCAGATATAGACTGCATTGTTCTTCATGTACTGTGATACTCACATAACTTGTTCTTTTCCCTAATGTTACAGTTTCAGTGATCATTCCTTTTATGGTCATAACATAGTTTGCTACTTTAGACAATGGAGTGTTGCAGGCTGTTTGATTTCAAAACACATGATGGGACTTTCGCAACCTCATGTGGTGTGACTTGCGCTTCAGACATATGCTATTTCTTTGGGCTTTCATTTATGAGTATAAAGATTGCTGATCAGCTTGTTGATAAAATGAGAATTTATATTTTATAGATTTGTATTTAGAAGTGCTTGATGTGAAGATATTTTGTGGCAAAGATAAATATGAATTAAAACATAAATATATATTAGCTCAGTAATGTTTTTTTTATATAAATGAAAGTAATATATATCACTGATTTTACAGCTTGAGAAGATCTTTAGTACGGCTCGCAGAGACCGACTAAACCGAGCTTTGGAGGGAGCAGTTAAACAAACAGAAGGAGGTATGTAATGTGCTGTAGAATAAGAAATATTGAATTTGATGTGCTTTCTTAGTTCTTGATGTAGGTATTTGTAACAAATCATATTTAGTCTATTTAGGTAAGGTAATTGTGGCACTAGATGAAGAGCTCAGATTTTTTTATCCTCCTCTTTTATAAAAAGAATTATATATAGGGTACTCAGATGTCTGGTAATGAAACAGAAAATATACCCTTTAAGTCATGGATTTTCCTCTCATATCACTTTATAGCAACATCATCATTATTTTTCTTATTCATATTGACTACACATTATCCTTCCTGCATGAACCTCCTCCTCCTATTCCTTCTCTCTTCTTCTTTCTCTTCCTTTTTCAATTCCTTTTCATGCTGAGATAGGCCAAAATTCCATCAAGATCATGCCCTCCAAGTAACAGGAACACCTGATCATACCCTGCCTACTGCGAGCTCACTAGTCGTGGATTAACTACCATGAACTCACTGCTGTTTGACCCAGGTCATACAATAGGCCACACCCCTTCATGTATGACCTACAACCTGATCCTGTTGTCTATACACTTTTCCATGAGTCATCCCATCCTGGGCAGAGGCCATCCTTCAAGCTACCCTTTGGGCTTGCCATTTACCAAGGTGGTCTAGCTGACCTGTTAGCCACTGCACAGACATAGAAGTATTAAATCACTTATGTATCATAGACATAATGAGTGCTTATTTTGAAAATTGAATATGAATGTTTTCGTGTATGAAACCCAAAACTGAATAGGCAATTTTCCCAGTGACATTTATCAATTCTTGTAGATGGCAAACCATTGCAAGGTAAATACTGTGAAAATGAGAGCTGTCAGAAGGGAGAATTTGATTTAGAGTTCATTTGATAATTATGAGGTATTTGCCTATAGGGCCTATCTCGTCAAAGTGGTGGACTGAAAGGTTAGAAATATAAGAAAGGGGTAAAGGGAGACCTTAGTAAAAGCTGGAGGGGTATTCCCATAGAGTTGTGCCAATATTGTGAAATTTACAGGTGAATTATATTTTTTTGCTAATATTGATCTGTCAAAATGATAGCGCATAAGAATTTGCAGTGCCTTATTATTCTTGACTTGTACTACTTTATAAGGAGTAAAGCAAGGAATAAGCTTAGGACACATGTTCACTAGTATCTTCAGAAATACTTGGACACTAATACAAGTAGACTTGTACACATAATTTTATGTTCTTGTGAAAGTATCAAGTCTCTTTCATTATAATATAATCTTTAGTTCTCTGGAAGGTGAAATTATTTCAATTCAAAAGATAGTGTCATAATACAGAGGTTTATGTCCTGGTCTCAAAAAATTCATATGGGATTCTTTTATTCATCCAAGCAGCTTGAGATGGGCCAAGGCTATGTCACAGTCAGAACCTCCAAGCAGGGACAGTCAGTCATACCCTGTGAACTACCAGTCACAGAAGTACCATGGAAATGCCACTGTTCAGGCCATGCCATATGACAGGCCAAACCCTGTAACACTTGCCCTCCAACCCTTTTCTTACACGTATACATATTTGGCCGTGAGTTGCAAACCATTTTGGAAAGAGCCCCTCTTCCTCGAAGGGAAGATCCTCTAGACACCCCCCTTATGGACTTGCGATTTTCCATGGATGGTCCATTTGATACATTAAGCCATTGCATGGACACCTGCCACTCCTCCCTTATTACTCCCCCCCCCCCCCACCCCGTCCCACTCACTTCCGCCCCCTCCGCCCCCCCCCCCCCCTCCCACCCCCTACCCCTCCCTCCACACCTCCCACCCTCCCACTCCTGACCCCTCTGACACGTCTCCCCCCCCCCGTTACCTCTCCCTTTACCCATCCTATCCTTCCTCCTCCTCCTCCCCCTCCCCTCCCTCCCATCCGACACCCCCGTCCTGACCCCTCTGACACGTCCCCCCTACCCCCCCTCTACCTCAACCCTTACCCATCCTACTCCTCCTCCTCCTCCACCCCCCCTACCCCTACCCGCCCCCCCTCCCCCCGTCCTTCACACCGCCCTCCTATTCCCCTCCCCCCCACCCCAACCACGCTAACCCCATCCCCTTCAAACCTCTCCGTCTTGGTGCAAAATCTTTCGCACTTCTCCCCCCACCCCCTCCCCTCTCCCCATTCCCCCTCTCTCCCCCACTAATCCCACTTCTTTATTCTATAATTATTTGATTTTGATATTTTTTTTTTTTTTTATCGTTCTATTGTGTATTCTTTCTCTTTCTCCCTCTTCCCCCTTTCATCCCTTTTGCCCTTAACGTCTTACTCCTTCTCCGCCTCCCCCCCTATCTTCCCCCTCCCCCTCCCCTCCAACTTCTTCCTTCTCTCTCTCTCTCCTCCACCTCCCCCCTACATCTCTTCTTCCTTGTCTCCCTTTTCCCCTCCTCCAATTTCTTTCTTTATTTCTCCCTCTTCTTCTCCTTTCCCACAACCTACTTTCCCTCTCCTCCCCCTTCCTCTCTCTCCTTCTTCTTCTTCCTTCCACTCATTCCCATTCCAACTCTCCTTTCATCTCCTCTTTGAGCTTCCGCACCTTCCCTACGTCCCCCTCCCCCTTCTTCTCCTTCCTCTTCTCCCTTCTCTCCTTTCTCCATTCCTTTCTTTTTCCCCCTTTCCCTCCTTCCTTTCCTTCTTTTTCCCTTTTCCTCTGATTCTTCTCGATGTTCTTGCCCTTTCCTTCCTCTCCTTCCCCTCTTGTTTTTCCTTTCTTTTTCCCCTTCCTCCCCTCCCCTCCTTCCTTTCCTCCCTTCTCCCTTTCCTTCCTTCTCCTCCCTTCTCCCCTTCTCTCTTCCTCCTTTCTCCTTTCTCCTCCTCCGTGTCCTTCCTTTTCCTTTTTCCTCTCCTTCCCTTCGATCTTCCTGCCCCTTCCTTCCCCTCCTTCCCTCCTCCTCTCTTCTCCCCTTACTCCCTTTCTTTTCCTCTCTTTTCCCTCTCTCCTCCTCTCCTTTCTTCCTCCTCTTCTCTCCTTCCTCACCTTCCCTTCCCCTCCTCCTCTCCATCCTTTTACCTTTCCTCTTCTTTCCCCTCGATCTTCCTGCCCCTTCCTTCCTCTCCTTCCTTTCTACTCTTCTCCCCTTCTCACCTTCCTCCCTTCCTTTCCTTCCTTCTTCCCTTCCTCTCCTTCCCTTTTTCTTTCCTCCCCTCTCCTCCTTCCTCCATCCCTTCCCATTCCCCTCTTCCTCTCCTTCCTTTTCCCTTTCCTCCTCTCTCCTCCTTCCTCCCTCCCTTCCCCTTCCCCTCCTCCTCTCCTTCCTTTTCCCTCTCCTCTCTTTCCCCTCGATCTTCCTGCCCCTTCCTGCCTCTCCTTCCCTCCTCTCTCCTCCCCCCTTCCTACCGCCATTCCTTGCAAATATTGGATTCAATATAAGAACACCAATTCTCACCCGACCATCGTCTTCACCACATCTGCAAAACCAGCGTGTCTGCAATCATCATTATCATCACCACCAACGCCACCACCACCATATCCACCTCCTCGCCGAAGCCATCATCACCACGCCAAGTCCGCCGGGGATTTTTTCATCACTATTCTCACCTACAGAAATTCACAGCTCACCGTCACCAGCTCATCACCACCACCACCCAAGGACTACACCATCAGTCATCACCACTATTTCCAAAAACGCAAAGAGCACCATACTTTTTCACCCATCACCATTACCATACTCCTATACTCCCTTCCCTCATTACCATACTCCCATAACCCCTTCCCCTTTGAGATCTACTCACGTCTACTCTTAGATCTACTCGTTACATTCTCCCTGTCTACCTTAACCCCCCCCCCCCATTCTCAGCCCTGCTTCCTCAGTTCTCCATCATACCACCTCATTCGCCCCCATACCCCATTCGCCAATATACCCTCCTCATTTCCGCACCATACCCATTCCGCCACCATACCTTCCCACCATACCCATTCACCACCACACCCTCTCATTCCCACCATACTCCCCCCCATTCTCCACCATACCTCTCATTCCCCACCATACCCTCCTCATTCACCCCCCCCCCCCCTTAACCACACCACACAAAACACAAATTCCCACCAACGAATCTCCATTTTGTCTTCAGATGGACAATATGCGCTTGCTGCACTTGCCTCCTTTTCCTTGACTCAGTGAATTTCAAGTTGCATCGAGGAGGGAAAAAAGGAAAAAAAGGAAGAAATGGAAACTTGCAACATTTCAATAACTGTTGCAGGCGGGCGAGTCTTTGCAAGATGTGCAGTTTGGCATCCGGGTCGTTGTGATTGGGTGGATGGGGGTGGGGGTGGTTGGGATGGGGGTGGAGGGTAGGGGAGGTGGAGGAAGGGAAGAAGCAAGGGGTAGAGGCGGGGAGGGGGGGAGATGGAGAAAGGGAAGACGAGGGGAGGGGGGAGGGGGATTTGAGGGAAGTAGGGAAAAGATGGAGGAAAGGGGGATGGGGGGTTTGGGGGAAATAGAGGGGGGTGGGGGTAGTAGGAATTAAGGAAGGAGTGGGTGATGTAGGATGTTGTCTAATTGTAGTAATAGTGCTACTACTGCTGATGATGTTCATGATCATAATGAAAATAAGAGTGATGTTAATGCAGCTGATATAACAATAATGATAACGATAATACTGATACTGATATTCAGTCGTAATGGATATTGATTACAAAAGAATGAATGGATAATAATAATAATAATGATATGTAATGATTATATTGATAATAATGAATAATGGTATTGTTAATGATAATAATAATGATACTACTACTTACTATTACAACTACAACTACACTACTATTACTACTAGTACTACCATCACCACTACTACTACTATTACTACTGTTATATCATTAACCACTAATGATGATTATTACCACTACTACTATTTCTACTGCTACTGCCACTATTTACTACTACCATTACTACTACTACTAATAGTGACAATAGCAATAAAAATGTAATACTACTAATAAAGAATAAGGACACAAATGATAACCCCCCCCCCCCAAAAAAATACAAATTTGACAAAATAAGCTATTTCTTTGCATTTTTTTTATCTAATTGAACTTTATCTTAATACGATGACTGCCGAAGTAGTATATATGGGAGTAAGTTGGTTTCTATTCACGCTTACTATTTCTGGGAATTCATTTGACTGCGAATCCATTAATTATTAATTCATTTTGGTTAAAGAGCTTTAGTAGACCACCACCCTTTCCCTATCCTTCTATTTTTTGCGTTTCCTTCTCATTTACTCTCAATTCCACTTTAATCTGACTTCTCCCTATTCCCTTCTCCACTTTTCCTTTTCCCTTTTTTTACTCTCTCTCTAACTTTCCCTTTTATCTGACCTTTCCCACTTCCCTCTCCAACGTTTTCCCTATCCTCTCTGGCACTCTTTCTTTCTCCTAATTTAAGCTCTCTCCTTCTGACCCTTCTCTCTTCCCTTCACTACTTTTCCCTTTCCTTTTATGCCTTTCACTCTTTCTCCTACTTTGGCCTCTCCATCTTACCCTTCTCACTTCCCTCTCGAACTTTTTTCTTTGCCATTCTTTCTCACTCCCACTTTAAGCTCTAATATGTCCCTTCTCATTTCCTTCCACTATTTTCCCTTTGCTTTTATGCTATTCACTCTTTCTGCCCTCCTCTATTATTCCCTTTCCTTTTCCCTCTCTGCTACTCTCTCCCACTCCCACTTTAAGCTCTAAATTTGTCCCTTCTCATTTCCTTCCTCTTTCTTGCCCCCTTTCCCTCTCTGTCACTCTCTTTCACTCCCATTTTCAGCTCTTCATCCGACTTCCCCTCCGCTTCCCTTCTCTACCTTTTCCCTCTCTCCTCTCTGACTGCTCTCTCTTATCCCACTTTAAGTTCTAATGTGGACCCCTCCGCTACAACGAACCCTCCCTTCTTTCTTTCGGGCGTTCAACTCTCCCTCCTCACGACCTCAAACCGCCACTATACCCCTATCTGATGACATCCTCAATCTCCACTCCATTTTATCTTCTTACTTTATGATACCTATCATTCCCTCTCTTGCTCCCACTCCTCTCCTCTTCTTCCCTCTCCCTCCTCTCCCTTTAAACCCCTCTTTTCTCTCTCCCCTCCTCTCATCTTTCCTCCCTCCTCTCTTCCCCTTCTCTCACAACGTCCCTTTCCCCTTCCTCCTCTCCCCTTTCCCTTCTTCTCTTAACTCCTTCTCCCTCTTCTCCCTTTCCTTTAACTCTCTCCGTTTCCTCCTTCCTAACCATTCCACCCCTTTCTCTCTCCTCCCTCTCTCATACTACTTGCCTCCCTTTCTCCTTCTTCACCCTTCTCCTTCCTCCCTCCTCCTTTCCCTTTCCAACACCCCTCTCTGCTTCTCTTCTCTCTTCGTTCTCTTTCCTCTCCTACACTACCCCTTCTCCTCTTCTCCCTCTCTTTCCTCCCTTTCTCTCTCCTGCCTCCTCCTCTTTCCTTGCTTCCTGACTCTTCCATACCCTCTTCCTCCTCCCCTTCTCTTCTCCTTCCTCCGCCCTCCTTCCTGCCCCCTCCTTCTTTCCTCCTCTCTCTCTCTCCTCCTCCTTCCTCCTCTCTGTGCTGCCTCTCCCTCTCCTCCCTCTCGCTCTCTCCTCCTCCTCCCTCGCTTCCCTCCCTCCCTGCCCTTCCCCTCTCTCTCTTCTCTGCACTTTCTCCCTTTCTTCCTTTTATGATACCCTTGTCTCCACTCCTCCTCCTCTACCTTCGATAGTTTTGCAACATACAGTCATCATTATCATGTCATCATCTTCACACATTTTTTAGAGAATACTCGACTTGTAAGATCACTTCTCGATATCGTGAATCTAATTTGTATATTTGACGAGATAGATATATAGGACTTGCATGAGCGATAGTGAGATAGAATGCGCGTAGAGTAAGAGAGTACCAATAGTAATCAAGTGTTTAAAATAATAAAATGTAGATCTATAACACGATACTGCAATAATCACTCGATAATCAATGTGAATGCAAGCAGAGAAGATGAGTAGTTACAGGTTGCGTTGTGCGAGAGCATGCGTGTGTATCGTCTGTAGGCTAGTGTGACGTCCTCTGTGGTTATGTTTGTGGTGTGTGTGTATAGTATGTAGCGTGGAGAAGTGATGTCTCGTCTGTGTAGCGCCGGATCTCTTTGCTAGCGATGGGCTGATCGGTGAATGATATGATGGGATAGGTCGATGACCTTTAACGTCTGTAGAATTTGTAAGTATAGTGTTTGTGTGGCGTGTGGTTGTGTTGTGTGGTTGTGAATGATTTTGTGGCTTGCTGTGTTGCATGCTGACGATGTCTACTCTTGTCTGGTCTTTTGTTTCATATATTATAAATTTTTTATTGTTATTAACACTTATACATATTCTCTTTTCCTTTACTACTCACATACACATACTATAGAATTTGTGATGCATGAATATGGTCATTTTTGGAAGTAGAAATAGTGAATGTTGGTCCATAAGGTATTGTAGCTTGTTCCGTATCTGTAGTGGTGAGTTCATTACAGAAAAAGCACTCTTCATGCATGATAAGACCAAGAGGACTTTTTAGCTGTTGTTATATCATCTACTAAACTTATTTGTGCATAGTGTTTTACCAGCCATTCATCATAGTATGTGTTACTCTTCTTGGTCTGTGATATTGTTAATCAGTTTGCTTTTTAGTAATGATGCATCATGGCATTAGGTACATGTGGTAATTTGTTAATTTCTCAAAATGAAAACTTTTGACCTGCAGCCTCAAGCACACTCTTTTTTATTTCATTATTTGTTGGGTGTATACAAGTACTAATCATGAACTTTGTTTAACACAATATATCTGATGAAAAGAATAGCATCTTTATTGTCTAATATGGATTTTATTGTCTTCATTTCAGGTTTATGGAAAACCTACAGACAGAAGTCCTAGAGATTGAGTTCAATGAATTTTCAAAGGGCCTGCCTGCCATCACAGAACTAGACTTTGCCAAGATTTTGTTACGTTACACTTACCTACAGTCCGACCAGTAAGTGTCCTTGCAGTTACTACCAAAATTGCATGATATTTATATAGAATCTACATTTATAATTTTTTGTTGCCTGTGTTACTAGAAGAATATAAAAGGAGAGCATGTGCTTGTGTCAAACCTCGACTGACAGAAATAGAAATTTCCATCCATCAAATTTCTCATTCTGTGCCCTTGAGAGCTTCTACAAAAGCTTGAAATATCAAATGGAAAAGAACAGAGGGGAATAAAGGAAACACCAGTGTCCTGCACTTAATATATTGAGGAATTATCTAGTAATCTCACACCTCGAAGAGCTAAATAACTTCCAGAGTAATCATTTGCCCTGAATCATCATCCCCTAAAAAGAAACAAAGGACCAACTCCTAAGAAGTCACTCCGAATAGTAGGGAATACCTTTGCCTGCTGTTGGAAAAGACCTTGAAACAAACAAAAAACTTTAGTAACCAGTGGCTAAGCAAATGTGTGTACATTTGTATGAATATATGTGTGTGTGTGTTATATATATGTATATATATATATATATATATATATATATATATATATATATATATATATATATATATATATATATATGCATATGTATATATATACATATCTACATACATACATACATATACTTACACAAATACATGAGGAAAAAATAGTGGCACCGACTCAAGAAATGTGCCTGTGACAGCAGAGATAGTGAGTTGCACTCATAAAATCAGGCGCTACAAGCCAAGCTACATTTTCCACTGTGCACCCCATATATCTTATCTATTACACTTACCATCTTGTGGAACAGAGAAGGTAAATACACAAAGTCCTACTAAGATAACCATCTGTTTACAATGCCAGAGAACTGGTACAAAAACAGATGGAATTATAGCTGAGGTTGTGTATGAGACTAATGCTTTAAAAGTAACTATCAACCCTCCATCACTTTGACAAAGACCTTGCACAGGCTATATCCTGAAAGTGCTTTATAAGAGGTCCACTATCCACTTTGCTGAGCCCATCTGAAATCAAACAATCAGAGAAATTCAAGAGTGGTTGTATATCTCTGCACCTGGCAGGTAGCAGGAACCTGTCCTGCATCAACCAACTCATTCAACTTCTCATATTATTGTGGCAGTGTGGGAAGAAGAATATAACCACAGGGAGTCTAGCTATAACCACAGAGGGCAACTGCTGTTGTCACAGTGAAGAATTTTTACCTCCTATTTTTCACTTTTTCATCTTTGGAGGGAAATGTAGGGGAGGGAGGGTTGTGGAAGAGTGAGTACTTGTGAGGATATGCTAGATGTAAGAAGAGGCAGAGTGAATGATAGACAGACAAATTTTGGAGGATTCCATCTTAGAGGAAGCCTTCAGTTAACTACTACCCAAGTATGTATTGTGAGTCATACAGAAAGTCAAGCAAGTGAGAATTGTAGTATAGAAGATTGTTTTGAAGATCTAAAGTTTTCAGTGTATTGTTTGATATTATGTAGTTCATATTTGCTGAACTTCAAGGCTCAGATGGATTTTGAAATGCAAAGATTTCTCTTTACATAGATCAGTCAAATGTTAATCTCTACATATGACAGTGTTTTATGTAGAGGAAGAGATTTATTAGGTTTTCAGATCCTGCTTATTTCCTTTCAGTTGACAAAATAACTTTGATTTGGATGATAACAGAGAAAATTTCAGTTCTCCTAAACATTCAGAAAATGAAATAGAATAAGAGGGTAGGACCATATGGATAAATATTTGGATTGGTTAAGAGATGTTTCTCAGATACTTTTGATAGCTGGGAACACAACCGAAAGGGAAACCCAGTACAGCAAAACCTATTTATTTAAATATCAATTGCAATTTTGTTATCAGCTAATTAAAAATTCTTCAGGATATTTCATTATTAACATCTTCCAACTTTGTAAGAAGTGAAAGAACCTTTATGTGTAATTGTAACCTTACTAATAGAGAAGAGAGTGTTTTCTAGTAAGGACAGATACATCTTCAGGATATTTCATTATTAACATCTTCCAACTTTGTAAGAAGTGAAAGAACCTTTATGTGTAATTGTATCCATCATTTCATATATGTGTTTTAAGTCCAGTATTTACAAAAAGGTCCTTTTATGCTGAATTTATATTTCTATTTTACAGGCTGTAATTTAAAAATAGTACTACACTGTTAATCTTTAAAGCATATGTTTTAGTATGTCTTTTTGTATACAAATAAAACTTGTTAACAACAAGCAGAAGAAATAATTGTTGCAATTTAGTTATGAGTTGCAAATACATATATAATAGAAGGGTCATGTGTGTTTACTAGTGAACTTTGTCTTTTGGTAGATACTACAGAGGACACAGTGTATACTTGCAGTGTACACTCTAAGAAGTAATGTTTTACCAAGAACAATATGATTACATCTATTGTTGTGATTTATATATTCATTTATTGACCTTTTCAGGAATATTTTTGCAAATATTCATCTTAAACAACGTGATTGTTGGGGAATTATTTATTTTTTGGTATTTTCCTTTCTTTTTTTCTATAATGTCCTGACTCTTTAGTATAACTTTATTCTCAAAAACTTAATGACCTAAAATATGTCTTTCATGGAAGAAAAATAACCTGATCAGTGTTTTGTGTATTATTCAAACTCACCAAGATGTTACTTCTGGATGTCTCATACAGGAGACAAGCATATGATCTTTTGTGTGAAATGCCAGGTAAAAATTGTGCTATAATGTCAAATATCTTGTGTTTTTATTCATTGATATTATATTGAATAACACCTTCATTACCACTCAGGCCTGCAAAGCGGATGTACAGGTGACTGCAGACGCAACATGAGTTTGTTTGTGATATCACTTCACATAAGCACTGTATGGGTATTGATTATATACTGTGTATATCAAGAAACTCCCTAGTAAATTATACTGGATCTTTTTTAGCTTTGTAAATGTCATAGTCATACTTCTGGAAAGGTGATATGTAAATCATTAGCATAATAATTAGGATAATTATATCTCTAAATAATCCTATACAAAGACTAGTAACCCAATGTACATTTTTAGTTTTAGTATTATTGTATGGCATATATGATTTTGATGAATGATTATTGAAAAGGTATTTGGCCAAAGTTATTGTGTTTTGGTAAATTTATTTTGCAACAGAATTCTGAAAAAAAAGTAATGAGAGTTAATATATAAGCAGATATCATATGCATTTTTCCAGAATTATGACACAATTTTAGGCACTGTAGAACTGATATATTGCTGTATAGTGTAATGATTTTACCACATAAAAGAACCTGGCAAGTTAGGGTTTCGGCAAGGTACACTCTTGCCCTAAATGCTGTTTTACTCCTGTTGAGTGGGATAACTGTAGATTGAGTTTTTTTTCTGGACTGCATAAAATTATCCCCCCAATAAAAGGAAATAAGCTGATGTCATAGTTAAATTCCAAATGATAAATACCTGTAGCAACGATAATGAAATGGAATTGGCTGTTTGATTAAATTTTGGATAGATGTTTTGGACAGGTTATGTAGTAAACTGAGCTGTGCTGTAGATAATGCTCTCTTAAGCTTTTGGTACTTTACAGTATGAGAGATGGCCTGATATGTTTATATTAGATGACAGAAACAAGGTTTTTATCTGTTTACACTGTTCTAAGTTCTTATATTGATCAGTATACACTGGTGGCTCTACTCTGCTCGGACAGCATTTTTATTGCCATCATGTGTCTATTTAGCATTCATTTTACATTTTACTGTATGTTACTTACTTATAGTATAAAAACTCAAATAGAAAACAATGTGCTCATTTTGGGTATCCAAAACACATATATTTGTTATCTCTTAATTGATGTTGGATCTCTTCCATTGTTCTCCTTGTATAGTTTCCTATGCCTCACACTTCACTTTTTCCAGCATAAGTAAAGTGCTGTTCCTGTAAAATCTAACATACACTCACTCAACACTCATGCAAAGGCAAATAACACTCTCTCATACCTTCACTCATTTATTCAAGCACTTTCTCACACACTGTTTCACTCTTGTCTCCACACTCATTCACTAAATCACACACACACAAACACACACACACACACACACACACACACACACACACACACACACACACACACACACACACACACACACACACACACACACACACACACACACACACACACACACACACACACACACACACACACACACACACACACACACACACACACACACACACACACACACAACGTATAAGGAAATAATGGTCAAAACCCTTACACTTTCTCAGGGGGAGGGGCTTACCCCAAATACCCTAGCTGAACATCCCCAATCCATCTTTGCATACATACATAAAGTACTTACACTAATACAAAATTGTGTATAGGCATACACGCATAAACCCAAGCATAAACATATACATGAATATAAATGCATATGCACAAATAAAAATACATGCAAGCCCCTCAGCGTTGAAGGAATGCTCGCACCAAAATAAAAATGTTCAGAAATGCATTCAGTTAAGGTTTAGCCAACATTGTGCAACTTCTTAGCTATGTTGTTAGAACATTAACCCATTGCCGCCGGGTGGCACGTACGTACATGTTTTGGACCGAACGCCAGGGGCATCATGTCATGCCCATTCCCGTGCTACTGGCTCGTCGGATGGAGGTTGTTTTTCTCCGATAATAGCGGCTTCATTTATGTGGTAAAGATTTTAGGCAATGGCACCTATAATGAAGGTAAATCTTCAAAATTTTAATATTTTTATAAATTTTAGCAAAATAAAAGCTTTTAGGTGCTATATGTTGACTGCAAACTACCGATCAAGCCGGGCGCAACAGGGGAAACTGCCAGTGCGCGCCAAGCCAGTGCATACGTCAACTTGCCAAGATTTTTACCCGTCGGCGATGGGTTAAATTGGGTCTCGGGATAATACTAGTTCAATCTAGGGTATGCAATTGACATTGCTGTTTTATTTTTTAGTCACAAAATGGTGGTTTGCAACTGTAGAAACGTGTAAGTACAGTTTTTGCTTTTTACCCACTGATGTGAGGGATAGGATTAATTCATCCACCTGATTTGCTACCAATATCCTGTAAGAAAAGGTACACTCATATCTATTTTCATGTAACTACCGATATTGAAATTTTGATATCCAACATAGAGTGAATTTTGGGAGAAATGGTGCGAGTGGTTCTTTTGATGTGAAGGGCCTAAACATAGACAAAGACATTCTTGTATATATCATGGTTATATATTTCTGTTGCTTTTTACTCTCTTTTCTTCTGATAGTGTTCAAAATGCAACAAGAGCCACTATCACTATGTAGTTGCATCATCCTTACCATTATCCTTCTATCTTTTCACTTTCAAAAAGGTATGATACCTTTGAATATACATGTAGCCTTTTTCCATTATGCTTTTTCCACAGTACTGCCACTTCACTTAGAAAAAAATAGCTATCATCTGAAAGTCTGCCAAGTTGCCAAGGGCTGAATTGTTCATTGATCTCAGTAAGATTATATTCATGATGGAGATGAGGGAAAAGGGTTGATGTGTGGTCAATTTTGGGACCTGAATATCATATTCAAGTTGCATATGATTATATTTAGAATTTTTATTTGTCTTTGTGTCATATGAAGTGGTTAGAATTTGGACATATGTTATTTAGACATTATGAATGTAGATTTTTTCTTTCTGTATTTTCTAATAGACAATCCAGGAGCCATTGATGGTTAGAGAAAACACCTTGTATCTCTGTGTGTAAACATGCTTATTGAACGTAAATGAACTGAAAAAGAAATCCCTCAAACTCAACACTGTTCTTCCCCAAGGTACGAGATGTACCTGGAGAGATTGCTTGATCGCATCCCAGAGGGTCGAGGTATCACATTCACCGAGTTCAAGTCTTTCTGCCAGTTCCTCAATACTCTAGATGACTTTGCTATTGCCATGAGGATGTACACACTTGCTGACCAGCCCATTTCACAAGGTGAGGAAGCAATATTTGAGGTTTGAGTTTTTGTTATCCATAAGCATCCTTCTTATTTTTGTTCATATTATATTTGGGGAGTGAAATAGATGTTTGATATTTAAATGACTTCTTACGTCAAGATTTTCTTCTTCTTTAGAGGCAGACTTAGTGTGATTGCCATATTGATAATCTTCTATCCCTCTTTACCTCCCTCTGTCTTTTCCTCTCTCCTTCTCACCTTTTGTCACTCCCTCTCTCCCTCTCTCTTTTTATCTCTAAGCCATGAAAGGGGATGTTTAGGAGAACCACATCACATGATGTGTTCATGTTTGCTGTCTGTGCCGCTCATAAACCATGTGGTCCAGAATACTATGGATTTATTCTAGTTATACCCACTCTCCCTCATTCATGCCATTATTTGACTCACTTCAGAGGAGTTTCATCGAGCTGTGAAAATCTGCACCGGAACAGAGCTCAGTCCGCACATTGTAGACACCGTGTTCAAGATCTTTGATGATGATGGAGACGGCCAGTTGAGTTACAAGGAATTTATTGCAATTATGCGTGACAGGCTTCATCGTGGCTTTAAGGTACACAAAATTGGTAACTTGTGTGTTATATCAGTAACACCTATTATAAAAAGTAGGGTGTGTTTGAACTTGGTATTGCTTAGAACTCTTGTCAGGACCAGATTTTGAATTAATATCTCTCTCTCTCTCTCTCTCTCTCTCTCTCTCTCTCTCTCTCTCTCTCTCTCTCTCTCTCTCTCTCTCTCTCTCTCTCTCTCTCTCTCTCTCTCTCTCTCTCTCTCTCTCTCTCTCTCTCTCTCTCTCTCTTCTCTCTCTTCTCTCTCTTCTCTCTCTCTCTTTTCTTTCTTTCTACTCTCTCTCTCTCTCTCTCTTCTACTTTGTTCTTTCTTCTTTTTATCATCATCCTACTTCTCTAATTTGGTCTTTTTGATAGTATTCAAGAACTAAATTTCCAACACACACAAAACATGAGCATGCACATGCACACACACACACACACACACACACACACACACACACACACACACACACACACACACACACACACACACACACACACACACACACACACACTGCAATATACTTACACACATACATATATACACATACATACATAAATGTACACACACATACATATATGTACACGCATAGACTTACACATGCATATACTTACACACATATACATACACACACATGTACTTATGCACACACATATGCTTACACACACATAATTACACACAGACACACACACACTTACACACACACTCACACTCACACTTACACACACACACATGCACATACATACACATATGCACACACACACACACATATACACATAAAGTTTTTCATTATGTGAAGAGTTTGATCCCCATGTAATATCTTCAGGGAAATCTTGAATAATTGCAATAAAGAAATCACTTTTTAAAAATCCCACAAAGTGTGTATGTGTGCTTAAGTAAGCCTGTGTATATTTCTGTTTTTTTTTTTGTTGTGTTGTGTGTGTGTGTGTGTGTGTGTGTGTGTGTGTGTGTGTGTGTGTTGTGTGTGTGTGTCTGTGTGTCTGTGTATCTGTGTGTCTGTATCTGTGTATATGTATGTGTGTGTTTGCATGTGAGTATGTGTGTGTCTGTGTGTCTGTATCTGTGTCTGTGTCTGTGTCTGTGTCTGTGTATATGTATGTTGTGTTTGCATGTGAGCGTGTGTGTGTGTGTGTGTGTGGTGTGTGGTGTGTGTGTGTGTGTGTGTGTGTATGTGTATGTGTGTGTTTGCATGTGTGTGTGTGTGTGTGTGTGTGTGTGTGTGTGTGTGTGTGTGTGTGTGTGTGTGTGTGTGTGTGTGTGTGTGTGCAGGTATGCATCACTGTGTACAATTGCCAGTGAAGATACTTTATGATTAATCATAGTAAATTCAAAAGACTAATGAGTTTTCAAAATCATGCTAACCCTTGCAGTATTGCATGGCCAGGATTTCTTTTTTTTTTTTCGGAGTTTGGTTAATGATTTACTGATAGCGAAGTGTGCATTTCCTGAATATTCCCCGCAGCATACATCCAGGAGTGAGGGCTGGGATGCCTTCAAGCAGTGTGTCAAGAGCGAAATGAAGGCTGTAGTGTGAAGGTAAGAATTCTGGAGGGTCTATGTGGTCACTCAGTACCTAGTGCCCTTCAGCACCATAACTTGTATTGCAAAATCTAGGGAAAAGAAGCCAGACTTTATTTTGTTTTTATACATCAACATTATCTTATTTATTCAAGTAGTTTTAAATTATAGTGCATATGCATTATTACATACAAGCTTTACACTATTCCATCGTGTCATGTCTTTGTTTTTCAAGAAAGATATGTTTCTTTTTCTATATCTAGCATTTTACCTGTATTGCCGTTTTATTAAGGGGTAGGTTATAAGTACAAGAACAGTTACAAAAAAACTTATTCATTACTCTTAGTAAAAGGTTTTTCGAGTCCTAAAGAGTATGTGTATCTATCATACCGTGACTTTCACTGGGTCATAGTGGTCTTGAATTTCCTTGAATGTCTTTTAATTTTTTCATCTTGAAAGTCTGCAAATATATTTGAATTTGAGGTTATTTTTAATAAAATCTTTAAAAGTCTTTAGATTTGGTCAGGTGTTGAAGAATCAATGAATGTGGACTTAGAACTTGCAAGATCATGAGAATGGGAATATTGTGGCTTGTGTATTTTTTAATTGAATAAAAAATCCTGACCTTGTTTATGTTTATATGATCTGTTATTTCAATTGCATTATGACATAACATTAGACTTGAGGAAAAAGTCCTTGGAAAATTGTAAGCAAAAAGCCTTGAAAATCTGTTTTTTATCCCCACCTTGGGTACTATGAACCCTATTTCAGATTAAGGAGTTTCTCTTTTACAGAGAAGACTCCACTGCTCAAAAGTATGGAATCAGTTCATAGTTTTCAAAGTATTATTTACTGTTTTACATTGATATTACTGTATTCTTCCTTTTTTCTGCAGCAACAACAGATACGGGAAGGCTGGGAAGGCTTCAAGGCTTGTGTGAAAGAAGAAATGAGACAGGATGTCCAACAACCAAGCTTGACTTAAACACAGACTTTGAAAGCAAAGAAAACTGTGTATGCAAGAAGTTGATGGTTCTTGTGCATGACTTGCAATTGGACATTCATGCTTGTATTTATCATGGTGATATATAAGCAGTATTGATTTTATATATACTTGATTAAAAGAGGTCTGAGGTAAGTTTTTGAAATATCACAATTCTTGATACAGAATTTGGTTATTTTTGAAGGAGAGTGAACTTGCTGGAAACACAGTTGCAGAACCTACATTTTATCATTTATGCAACATTATATCCAAATGATCATGTCTGTCAATGAATTTCTCTAGAGATCTCCTTATCATCAGTACTTTCTGTAGTGCACCACATTCGTGAAAAGCGTAAAATGTGCATTAACAAATTTATCGCAATTAAGATTTGTAGGTATTGTTCCCCAAATTAAGTTCCTTATCCATCCTCTTAGTTAGTCAGATTACTTTAGTCACTGTTATTTATTATGAAAAAGTCATAGTATGTAAAAATCCTTGAAACATGTGAAATATTTCAGGCTCAAGTTTGTGTAGTTCTTGCCCTCTCTGTCTTCCATTGAAACCATTAATTTATTTATCTTTCTTTTGATCTTTCTCAGTATCCTTTTTCTGTACATTCATGCTCATTATCCTTTCTCTTTTAATTTAATTGGTATCCTTACTCCCTTGTTATTTCTTTTGCCCAATGAAATCTCTTAAAAGTCACATCAGTGTGTCAAATTGTTATTATTTTGCATGTTCTGTTATTGTGTTTTGTTAAAAAGTATATCTTCATTTGCCATATATTTTTAGTAATGGTAGAAAAATAGATTGATGTATATTATGTTTGAATTATATTCTATGAATAAACTTATTAATTTATATAGCACTAGATGGAGATAATGCACAAATAATCTAGACAGGTATGACATTTGCAAAGGCAAGAGTTTTCAGTGCTTTTGTAATTTATGTTTTTCTGTTAATTTTGTCAATTGTAAATTTGAAATTCTAGACAATGCTGAAGGTGAAACATTTCATTGTTTTTCTTGAAAATAAGACAGTGGATCTTCCTCAGCTAATATTTGAATCAACAGCTTAATGAAATAAATGATTGTCAATAATGTTTTGATAGTTAATTATGAGATGTAGAGGATTCAAATGTATAAATATGAAGTACTTTTGTGGTTACTTTAGAGCAAATAAATCTTCCTTTTCATTTACATTATTTTCAATCTTTGTCATCTTTTGATTTTTGTACATCTAGGATGTATCAGGTAGTTATGAAGACAAGTAGTAGTAGTTCATCAGAGTAGATTACATGAAATATTTGAAAAGCAGTGTATAGTTTTGTAGCTGAGAAAATGCCATATAGAAGAAGCAGATATTTGGCTGACAGCTTGAGTTTATTGCTGGCCATATTAAGTGATGGATGTGACAGGGACAAATTTAATGCCTATTTTCAAACTTGATTTTATAGTTGCAGTCGAAAAATAAGAAATGAGTTCATACAACACATTCCACATGGAGTGGATATACACTAATTTTTTATGTCATTTACAATCTAAATAGAACAAAGCTAGTTGTATATAGTAATTGCAACAACATGTATTGTATATTCTAAAGGGTACCATCTCCCTAAAAAATGGGCCAAAAATACCAATTCATGCAGTTTAGAGATGTATACATTTAAAAACGTCAAGCCTTGAAAAATGTCCCATAAGTTTGCCACGTAAAAGTTTGGCCAAAATTATGATTGTTTTAATGGTTCTTGCATCATACTTATTTGATTTATCAAATCATTTAGTATTCTGTTTTTTTTTTAATGAAATTGCATATAAGTAGAGGTCATTATGCACTTTTAAATGCATTTCTATGGATATGCATTTTGTTACAAGAAAATGGTATAATGCTTTTCCTAAGAAGCTTAAATTTAGGTATTTGCAGCACAAGTGGTAATCATTGGTCTCTTGTTACATCTTGCTTAGTCGTCTTAGATTATTCCATCACAAATTTGACATATACTATTTTTATTTTTATTCTTATATTTTGTTACTGATTTTTATCAGAATTACTCAACTGTACATAATACTGAACTGAGATTGAAAGATAAAAAAGCTTCTTGGCCCTCTTAAGTCAATTACAACCAGAAAATTGCTAATAACTTTGATTTTAAGTATTAAATATCCAAAAATAATAACATATTAGATCTCCAGTAGGCAATGTTTAAAAGATATTAGTTTCAATTATTTTAAAAGAAACTGAAAATCTATCAGAAAATAGAAATAGTCTGTCACTAAATTAACAAAATGATTAAGATCACTCGAAGATGGGAAAAAACAATTGTACATCTTTAATTACGAACAGCAGCCAGCATCATCTAAGTAAGTAATGCAACTTCATTACCAACTAAAGACTATTTTTGTGGTGTTACAGTGACTATAGCTATATAAATTTTACTGTTACTTAATATGCCTAAATTAGTGAAGTCATGGACAACATAGAGAAATAACCATTTCATAGCATAGGTTATTCTTAACCAACTTTGCCTGTCCTTTTCTACACAAGGAATAATATATTCTAAATCTCAGTGTCCTTTTTTCCAGTTTGTCTCTTAAATTCTTGTAGCTCTAGAGGTCCTTGGCAACTCTCTCAAAGCCAGTCCTTCAAATATCTCATGTTTAGAATTAATATTTGTCCATTAGAAAATAAAGACAGAAGATGGTATCAATACCTTATGTGAATTTAGTAAAATCTACTATTTTGCAATCTAATGAGTGACAAGCAGAGCTAAAAAGGTCTTATCTGGCTGATATTGTAAGGTATCATATATTTATTTTGATTTTAGCTAGTGAGTAAGAAGGCACTGCTGTCAGCAAACCCCTCTGATTAACATCACAATGCCATTTGAATTATTATGATCCTGTTAGGTGGGCATATTTCTTGACTGCTGTGTTATTGTTATTGTTGACAGCATAGTTTAATTTATTATAGATGTAAGAGAATGTATTTTGTACTGAATATGTACTTGTTGCAGAGTTTTTGCACTATATATAAATGTTGAAATGATTTTTAATAATCAGATTGCCTGATTTTATTGTATATTTGTTATCTGGATTGTTTTTTGTTGATTGACAAAGTTTTTAAAACTGAAGATATGAATAAAGGCCAACAAAGCATAATTTATTTTGAAAAATTTCATTTACATCAATAGATATGTTCGTACATATTGTGGCTAGGATTTTTACTCTAAATCTAGCAGTCAAGTATTTTGACAAATCATCAGTAATAAGGTTCCTTCATTGTGAAGCGAGTTGTCTGATCACCACCACTTTGCCTTCATTTACAGTCTGTCCCTTGAAATATATTGAAAATTCTTATGATAATCTCAATCATTTTCATATGTAAATTACAATCTTTTATAATCTAAAAAAAAAAAAAGAAAATGACATATAGTATGATTTACATGGTCAACAAAACTGACAACTGGACACAAAATTCTTATAGTAAGCATTTAAATTATTCAGTGAAAGAATGCTCCTGCACAAAAGAACCAGTGAACAGACAATGTGACTTTGTGATTTTTCATCCATGCTTCAAAGATCTCTGTTTGTGTGTTTTTTTTTTTTTCGCATGTACAGAACTGCAAATATCCTGCAGTAATAAAAATTATTTATGATTTATTAATGGTTTCCTTTTAAGTTTTCTTGTAACCCTATTTAATGCAACCTTTCAACTCATTATCAAAGAAAAAAATAATTGCAAATTATGCAAGATGAGAAATGCATACATACATAAATAAATACATACATCTATATACATACATAAAATAAACAAACAACATACATACAACATACAAACATACATATACATACATACACACATACATACAATCATACAAACAAATACACACACACACACATACATACAATCATACAAACAATACACACACACACACACACACACACACACACACACACACACACACACACACACACACACACACACACACACACACACACAACACACACACACACACACACACACATATTATATATATATATATATATATATATATATATAATTTATATTATATATATATATACTATATATATATATATATATATATATATATATATATATATTATATATATATATAATATATATATATATATAATATATATATATATATATATTATATATATATATATATAATATATATATATATATATATAATATTATAATATATATATATTATAATATATATATTATATTATATATATATATATATATATATATATATATATATATATATATATATATATATATTAATATATAAAATTATTCCATTGAAAAATCTGGAAATTGTTGATTAATCTGTCAAATGTTCATTTCATTTTAATTTCCTTCACCATTTCAGCAGCACTCAGTGATAAAAGAGTGAATAAATAATGTATGAATATATATATCTTTGCATAAATAAAACTAATGTTGATATTACAACTTAAAAACAAGAGAAGACAAAAAAAATAATGAGAGGTCACTCAATTTCCTTTGTCTGGTGCAGTAGTAATGAATGAAAAGAATATACTATGTTTATGAATGAGTAATTTCAACACATAGGCAATCTCAGCTTGGTTTGTCTATTGTGGTGTTGGTGTCAGTGTCAGTGTCAACAGACAACCCATAGGTTTCATGGGGTATCACAATAAAAAACAATGTAAAACCATGTTCCTGTCTCTGCTTCATATGCATCTGAAAATATGTGTAAATTGGTATGTTAACCTGAAAAAGTGATGCATTTTGATATCTAGATTTAGAAGTCAGTATGTAAATTCTCAAAAGGCAGTAAATGAATTTCATGGATGTGTTGCAACAAAAGCACAATGTAAAACATTTTCATATGCAATATATATATATTTTTTCTTAATAGACCTTAAAAATGTCATTTAAGAATAATTGAATAACAATATACAGGTATTCCGTTCCAAATGTATACATAAGTATGTACGTGTGTATGTGTATGTATAGACATTTATATATATGATCCATATAATGAATTAATGAAAGATGAATTTTAATCTTATATTTAGGGTAAATAAGATACACATATTAGATATATCAATTCATTTATTTTTAAAGTCTGCAAAAATAAGTTTGTACTTTGTATTTGAAATATATCACTGTGAAACAAATTTTCACACATTAAAAAAGTCAAAATAAAAGAAAAACAATAAAAGTAAGACAAAATATGACTTAAGCTGACACACTTGGCTGTGGGATATTTACAGGAGATAAAGTGTACAGTCGAACTTCCCCACAGACAACAACAGCAGAGACAACTGGAACATCATCGTGAAATCTTGTCGTTATGTCTAGTATCTGTCCTGGTGTTGGGTTTTGACCATCTCTGAGGAAGAAGGAAAAAAAAGTTAATCAACCACCCACTTCTCTCCTTAATATCAAATATCTTCTACCTCTTACACACCTACACACCAACACATCCTTATTTATCCAACACTTGTTTCATATACTCACTTAGTAAATCATTCCATTTCTCAACTTTTTACTCTCTCTCTCTTCAGTTTCGTGTGATCTGTGAAGGCAAGCTTTGCCAACCCCTGCATACATAGTCCAGCCTGTTTTAGCTATTCAAAACTGTTTCATTTGATCATCATAACTAGAGGCCAGATTGCCTCTTAACCATACACAGACAGAGCCTGAATTTTCTGTGTAGCAGTCATTCTGGTGACTATTGCAACCTCCTAGCCTTTCCAGCGGGGTGTTTGCTGTGTACAGCTAAACTGTCCGCTCAATCACCAGTCATGACTCATACACATTTGCCATCATGAAGGGTAGAATTTCCATGGGGTTTCAGAGACCTGACATTCTATTTGGTTGCAGATCAAATCAAAAATCATTTTGAAAATCCTATGAAATCTCTATGACCTTCACCATTCCAAGCAAGGCATTCATACATAAAAAACTGATTTCTAAGCCAAGTTAAAAAATTCTTATATAATTTTTTCCTCCCATTCTCAACACATTTCCTAAACTTATACTTTTTCCTTACACTTTCATGATTTTGGATAAAATATAGATGATAAAAACCTCAAGACAGTGATCCTTTTGCTTGGCTGCGATGGCTGGGACTTCCTGTATGGCACATTTGGGAGGTAGACATCAAAATGGAAACTTAGTTGAAGTTCTTTGGGAATCTTCCACTCTCTGTCACTGACATCACTGGTTTCATCCCCCAAACTGCAAGCTGCAAGGACTGATTCTAGAATAAGAGAGAAGCCAAGAATCAATAATTTCACACATTTACTAATTAATGTTGTTTATATGTAACCAACATTTGGCTGGAAACAACCTGGAATTATTAAAATATACATTTCTGGGAAGTTGTAAGATGAACAATGATTATTGGTTGAAACAAATAAATGTGCTAGACAATAACACAAACAAAATTTTAAAAAACGAGGCCATACGCATGACAACTGTTACCCTGAATGAAAGAACAGTCAAATCTTCACCTTCCTAATTTTTAACCCATTGATGGTGGGAGGGTATGTACTTATGTTCCTTGCCATCAATGTGATTTTAGATTATTCACTTTCTTTGCACACGGATAGCTCTAGAAAAGCTTAGTCCTCTAAGAGTCAATTCCTAGTCCTACCTGATTGCACTATTTACCCTTTTTCTTGACTTGTGAAAAAAAAGTCTTTATTTCTATTCTATTGTTATTCCAATTATTAGTGACATTATAACAATGATAATACATATTAATAATTGTAATGATATTAATAATATAAAAAAAATTCAAGGAATGGGGAAATCAGGTAAGGTCAAATAGTCCTAGTAATTGATTCCTAGGTGACTGAGCTTTTGTAAATCCTTTTTCATGTAAACAAATCTACTGTGGTTACTTATGTGCCTGGCTTCCATGGGAAAGAATGTTATGTGAAAAACAAGCATGCATTCCCAGTCCCTCAGTGACTTAAGTCTTAAAAATGTGCATTATTACTACACATAATGTATAAAAATATAAAAAATCTGAGACATAACCATTTTTATGGGTATATTATTGAGCTCACTCTTACTAAACTACACTTTCTATTTCATGGACCCTCATACTACGCTTATTAACATAAGTTAAAAGCAGGCATAACTCAACTTGCTAACAATTTAGTCTTACGTGTACTAGCAGCCATTCCAGGTTTTATGAGAGGGACTGTGTGGCCTCTCCAGAGCACTCGCCCAGGCCCTTCCATGTGAGACCATCTCTGCCACCTTCCAATGCCAACAGTTGTTTCTACCAGATGTGCTATTGTTTTCATGTGTGACCCTTTCCTCTCTCTTTATGACGGCTGTTACTATGGTAGAATCTATCAGGTTCATATGAGGAATCATCGTATTTGCTATAGTAATTTAAGGCCTCCAGTGATATTTCATAGCAATCTTTATGAGGTTTGCTATTAGCAGGCAGTAATTCTGAAGACTCTACCGATACATTCATTATTCTTTTACCCACTACATTAGGGAAAAGACCTAAAAAGGATATACGTTTGTGTTCATATTCACTGAGTTCTGAAGAGTCAGTTCTTTCTCGCTTTTTCTGAGAGGTTGCTTTCTCATTATGTGACAATTTTTCTGTTTCCTGATCATTATCTTTAGATTCTGAAGAACAAGGAGTGGCACCATCTAGACTGGCATAAAATTCTGCTAAAGCATCGTCCATGCCTTCCTTATTTGAGCTATCACAATTGACATCTTTGGTCTCTGCTTTGTTCATTTTGGCTTTAAGCTGTAACTTTGCTGTCTTTCTTGTTGCTTGGTGCTGGTCTAACCTAATAACCTTCTCATATCCTGAAAATAAAGGGATTTTTTTCATTTCCTTTCATTCAGTTTCATTTCAGTTCCTTTCATTTAGTTCTTTCTTCTCAACATCTCTTTGAAATACAGTATCCTTCAAAATGGCAAAAATTTCCAAAACAAACAAATGATAACAGGAAAATCCATAATCACTAGTACATTAAAATGTTATCTAATTTGATAACATAAACCTTATATACATATATACATACGTGTAAACAAAAGGTGTGGCTGATGCCGAATCACCTTACAACCATTCCGTGTGAGGTGAGTATAAACTATATACATGTCCATTTGGTGGGCATCCTGGAGCATTAAAGACTGAGCTTGTTGTATGCTGAGTGGCATATCGCCATAAGTCACTTCTAATTCACCCTGAAAGAAAACAATTGTATTTACTTAGTTGCATCTTAAATATGCATGATGTGTACTTTATAAGGCATATTGATTGTGCTTTTACATACTGGAGCATACAGATTTGATAAAGACAAAAAGAAATTGCAAGGGAAGGCAAATATGACAACCATCAAATGAGATGGGCTTAGTCATCTGTGGTAACAAAAATACGACCATTATGTCATGAAAAAATCTGGCTCAAACATGCTGTTATGGAAAAATTTGGCTGAGGGTCAGCATGATGTGAACTTGCCATCATGAAAATTTTGGCTGAAGGCTGGGGTGATAGTGTACAAAGATCTTGGAGGATGGTTAGACTCAGTGGACTTTAAGGAAGGGGCTTTTACAATATTTCCAGATAAATGAGTGTGGAATGTACCACTTATGAACCATGACTGGAAGAGTGCCAGCTCCAAAGAGGATATTATTTCCATGCTCCGGATCGTTTTCCTGCCTGACCTGACTGGCAATGCAGGTTTTATTACAGAAATTGGATATTTTGGAAAATTAAAAAAAACACAAGTAATAAAATATTACTTATTGTTATCATAATTGCACTGAGGTTTGGACTAAATTTAGAGATGATGATATGTCTCTTACCCTCTACAGACAACATATCAAATGACAAATAGAGATACTGGGAGAGGGCCTACCAGCCACGTACCCCTCAGAGTGGCCACTTAAGTAAGCCTAATGGCCAGATTTTAGGTTAAGCGCAGGCAGAAAACCACCCGGATCCTTTATTCCCTGCAAATAGGGTCTCACATCTAAATTTTCTTACAACACACTTGATTGATTTTTCCAAGCCATGACATTCCTAGTTGCCTCATGGGCCTTCTCTATACAGGACTCTCTGAAATAGGCAACCTGATGGGTTAGGTGAAATGTCAGTGCAGATTTCACGATGCAGATGCTGGTCGAGTACATAATCCTGCCAACTGTACTTTATGATAAATGCCAAGACCAGCTGCAAAAGGCATGTGAAGATGCACAGTATGGTCCTTTCTCCACATCTACCAGCATCTCAAGATGCTCTTGTTGAGATTTTGTGATTCCTTCTGCCATGAAAATCTGTCTTTTGACTTCTGGTACAACAGTACCAAGTTGTAAATCATACCAGAAAGATACATAAAGCTCTGTGTAACTGCGTGCTTTTGCTGTAAGCATTTAGCAATTGGACAGGTCTGCCTGGGACATCCACAGATTCCTGGATCTTGGCCTGGGTCCAAAACACCTCTCAACCAAGCAATTCCATTTGCTACAATTGTGGACAAGTGATGGGATTTTCCCTCCAACTGATGGCAAGTTTCCTTCTGCCATACCCACGATATCAATCCCACAGTATTAATGTTTTTCCTCCTCCTCCTCTGACTTCTTATGAATCAAATGTAGTGATAGTGAAGTAGTAATTCTGATACTATATTGCCAATTTTCATTTAGCCATTTCACTTCAGCAAATCCTCCTTAGACATTCCCCTCCACAAACCATACTACTAAGTATTATAGTCACCTATACTATTTGTATAGCCAGATGTTTATAAATACATTTAAATACACATTTTACTGTTTTCTATAATAAAATCCATATCTACTGCACAAACGACCTGTTGGGTTTGCAGTTCTACATGGATAAACCATTCAAGTATCCCAATCTTAATGAGTGATTCAGAATAACCTAGTAATAAAATGCTTTTTGATGTTGATGTAGACTGCAAGTTCCCCATGACTAAACTCAAATGGTAATCTACAGTCACTCAAAGAGCAAGGATGCACTGGATTTACCTGGACTGAATCCAGATTGCTCCAATCTCTGGTGCCTTAGTAGGCAGTCTCTGGTGTACTTCAGAAGGATGAGAGTAAGCACCTTTCCTGGTATGCTGAGCTGTGTAATGACTTGACGATTTCTTAAGTTTCAGCAGTCCCCTTTACCCTTCCAGGAAAGGATGAGAGAGTGCACTATATTCCACAGCAGGTCCGGAGGAATGGTAACACATTACCAGATGATTATCAGGACAGCATGGCAATGCCCATCTGTAGTTCAGCAAAAAAGCTATGGCAGTCACTACACGTGTTGTTAGTACCACATGTGTGACCCTCATGGCATATTTCTAAACATGCACCTGTGCATACTGCCACGAGGCTGCCATGAGGCTGCCAGGGGTCGGGATATAAAACCCAACCTCGTCTGACCTCGGCCTCACTCACTCCTACACTCACTACCCTTTGGGTCAGAACACCCTATCTCCCCCGACCATCCCGACGACCCGAGGAAGCTGACCGACACCATTACCACTCAAGCTACCACCTAACGCCGTTAACTTACATCATAAATAAAGTGGTGATACAACGAAGAAGTGTGTTTCACTGAACCTGCCAATCAGTATAGTGAGACTCTTGATAACTGTATTAGAGACCATTATAGAAGCCATAAATACCCACTGCCTTCCCACCCTTCAGCTTGGAGATCACCTCCCTAACCACCCATGTCCACGCTAACTTGGCCTGAAACAACTGCCTCATATAGAGAAATATAGGTACACAAAATGTTTGGTGTGTAGTCAGTCAGATCCTGGTCATGTGAAGAGAACTGGAGAGAGTCCTAGATAAAGACATGTACCCTGTTGTGACATGCCTATGCAGATTGGTCTTGCAATGAGCGATGATAAGTCGGTGCTGGGAGCCTATATCACATGTCCCTATGACTACCAAAGTTCCAAGAGCATGAGAGGATAGAAATATCAATTGTCATGGTTGTAATTAATCGCATGGCTAAAACTTCCCTCTGGTTTGAAAAATTAAGTGTGTGTATGTGTGTTTTTGTGTGTGTGTGTTTCTGTGTGTGTGTTTTTGTGTGTGTGTTTTTGTGTGTGTGTGTTTTTGTGTGTGTGTGTGTTTGTGTGTGTGTGTGTGTTTTTGTGTGTGTGTGTGTGTTTTTGTGTGCGTGTGTGTGTTTTTGTGTGTGTGTGTGGTGTGTTTTTCTGTGTTGTGTGTTTTAGGTGGTGTGTGTTTTGTGTGTTGTGTTTGTGTGTTTGTGTTTGTGTTTGTGCTGTGTGTGTGTTTGTGTGTGTGTTGTGTGTCTGATTGTGTGTCTGATTGTGTGTCTATTTATCTGTCTGTCTGTGGGTTCATCCATATGGATTTGCATGTGTGTGATGTCACAGGCAAATATAAATAAAACATTTTTACTTGTTTGGATAATCAATATCTGATACTATATTTTTTAATTTCCTTCCTGAGCCAGAAGCACTTATGGGGGGTGGGGTGGGGGGGGATGTCAAAAAAAGCCTATCATAGGTCAATAATATATCTATAAATGTCCTTGGCTTAATACTATAAAATACAAAAAAATGTATGGAATCTGCCAAACAGGTTGTGAGTATTCTCAATAGAAATGAGAAATATTCATTTTAAAAATTCAGATATGATTTCAAATGTGTAGTTTTTATTTAAGCTTAAACAACTTTGAAACTGTTTCACTGAACTGAAAGCAACTCAGGTAAAAGTAATCTGAATTAAAAAATGGCAACAATATGGAAAACTTTTCACCTTGAATTCTATTCATAAATATCAAATACCACTTCCATTAAATATTTGAATACAGATCAAATTTGGTAAAATTTAAATTAACAACTAGATTAACCCACCGTTTCTATCAGATAAATTGATTCTTCAGGATACAGGCACTTCCCAATGTCTGTCTCAGCTCCCATATGTTGCCAAAAGTCCCCAGCTTCATGCACTATTCGTACCATCCTTGACTCCGCTAACCATTCTCCACAAGCCATGGCATCTCTGTGACACAAATCAAAATTGGTTTATTTCTGTTTCTTCCGACGGGACACTGCCATTTCCTAATTCAAACATGGCTACCTAAGAAAAAATCATCATTAATGAATAACACTGTATGCTTATAAATTAAAGATAAAAAGTTGATGGAAAAGGGATAATTATACCCACAGTTTTCAATTTGCTAAAGGTTATCCACTACACTGACCCCAAAAAAATTGACACAAAAAAGTAATGTGAATTTGGGGTTAAAACAGTTTGCATTATAATATCAATTATGTTGCAAATGTTGTGCAAGAGAGAAAAACTCAATACATTGATATCATGACATCTGATGTTACTCATTTATGACATAATTATATTTTTTTAAATTACCTTCACTTTGTTCATGCTGCTCATATGCCACTTTACCCTTCACATCACTCATATACTTAACAAAATCAGAATTTTGCTGATGCTCACTCCTTAATTATTATTCAAACAATATCCCCAATACAAAAAAGCTAATATAAAATACTTTTGAAACATGTAAATTAGTCTGAAAATGGAACAAATAAGAAAAATCCTCTAAGTTATTATTGTCTGGTTACTCTTACTTATGGGCCAAGGTGTAGGAATTTGCATCCAACTTCATATTGCCCAACATCATTGACTATGTACACTGAAGTTATTGACAAATAACCATGAATAAGACCTATATGAAATGAATTCCAGCTCTTACTGGCTGCCGCTGCTCCCCCACCACTCACTGTTTTTCTCCTCTTTTCTGATTATTCTTCCTTTTTCCACTTCGTACTTTCCCATGAGTCAAAACCTGTGGCTGAAGCATGGGAGACACAGGAGGGATTTTTCACCGTTTTCCTTCTTTCTTCTTCTTTCATTTGGAATCCTAAACTTGTTCTCTTTTAAATTTTCTTACTTTCAAACATGTGGTGCCCGCAAGAAAGAATGTTTGTCATATACCGCAAAACAAGTTTTGCCTCACCTTTGCTCTTTTTTCCCCAACCTAACATAACATTACCTCCAATTAATGGATGTGTCTCTCAGGGAGTTGCAAAATACCACCAGAGCTTCCAACCTAATAACCAAAGTAATATCTCAGTGATGGACCCAGTTCACCACCTCTCTTCTGAAGTGTTTTAGGATGTCCAAAGTTTTCTTTTTGTCAAACACACAACGATTTTCACCCACAAGTGCCCCAGTAGATGTAGAGGAAAACCTCAACATATTATCAATGAGAGTAAATTACCTACAAAGAGCAATGCAAGCCCTATTAAAGCTCCCAGCAATTATTGACTACTGTTGGTTCCATGTTCCAGCCAGTGTTGAAGCTTAGAAAATTTTCTGTATATATAGGGGTGCTTGCAGGAGTGAATCCAGATTGCTTTTGCCATGCCTCACTTTGCCAGCATTCGCAGATGCTCCTCCTCCTCCTCCTCCTCTTCTGACATCGATTTTTGGAAGCTTCAAGGGAAAATTGTCTTGTCTGACTGCAAACCCCATCAAACACCCACTGCCTCTCAATAATGCAGCCAACTTTATATTTCCGTCACCTGAATTTACTCTCATCATTTTCCAATTTTTTTTCAACACCTTCGATTTTTTCTGAGGTATTATTCAAACACCATTTGACACATACTTCTTGGCAAAAGCTAGACCAGTCAGATATATATTTTTTCAATAGTCCATGTTCATCACATACAAGTTCATAAGAAAAATAATTTCTTAAAAAAAGATTAATAAAAACAAACTAGTTTCGATTATAATTTTAAAAAGTACACACTCTTTCAGTGAGTGTTTCAAAAAATCCAAAGAGACAAAACTTTAACATCTTCTAAAATACTACTGCCATTTTTTTTTTCTGTAAACTCTGTCAACTTCCAAGTAGAAAATGAATAAATATATAAAATACTACTGAGAGCTTCATTACCGTCTTGCAAATTTGGGTTCTTCTAGAAGCATCTGCCGATCACGGAGTCGAGCATCTATCTGTTTCTCCTCAAGCCATGAACCTGATGGATCAACTTCTTTCTGCCCCCAAGATGGAAGGAGCTGGTCACGTCCCCTTGCTCGCAGCAGGTCCCCCCCTCTGGCAGAATAAAAACATCCATCATTATGAAATAACGACAAACAACATTGGTCATTACTGAAAATCAAATAAGCTAATGTCATAAGCAAAAGCAAGAAGAAAGGAGTGGTAAGGTTATTACTTGTAAATATAAGCTCTTTACACAATTTGCATCACTCTAAAGCTAGTGACTGCCAACAATTTCAGTAACTTTTTTAATTTTTAATTTTAATTCAATAATTTTTTTACACAATAGTACATACACTACAGATTCTTATAAATGTATGGAAAAAATATGGCTTTCCTAAGAATAAAAAAACAAACAAAAATATTCATTATTCATCTAATTTCACTGCCTACTTAATATGAATACATACATACATGCACACAGACAAACAGACAGACATACACACACAGACACAGACACTCACACTCATGCTCACACACACAGATATATATGTATATATGTATGTGTGTGTGTGTGTGTGTGTGTGTGTGTGTGTGTGTGTGTGTGTGTGTGTGTGTGTGTGTGTGTGTGTGTGTGTGTGTGTGTGTGTTGTGTGTGTGTGTGTGTGTGTGTGTGTGTGTGTGTGTGTGTGTGTGTGTGTGTGTGTGTGTGTGTGTGTGTGTGTGTGTGTGGTGTGTGTGTGCGTGTGCGTGTGCGTGTGCGTGTGCGTGTGCGTGTGCGTGTGTGTGTGTAACTACAATTTAGAAGGGATAAAAGATGACCTGTCATTTACTTCAGGAAAGAAATATAAAAGTAATCAACTTTCCTGAATTTCACTAAGGAACAGCTTGTTAAGGCTATTCTTTGAATATGAAACAAATTTACTTTCAGTGTTAGTCTTTTAATGCATATTACGACAAGATGCAGCTTGGACTGACATCTTATGTGAAGATATACTGCAACAGAGGTCCATAAACTCTATCTTGCCAAAATATAAGTGGTAGAGGATTCATAGCCACTCCCGGAATGTAAAAACCAGAGCCTAATAAATGCCTTCATGCACATATCTGCGATTCTGATAAAAGATTGCTGCCTTCCTTTCATTTTGCTGTGGTTATTTTCTATGTCTGTTTGTGCTGTTTTGAATGTTCCTGGAGACCATATTATCTTCTTTTCGTTCTCAATCTCCCCTTGGCTTTATTCCATACTTCTATTGAGCTTTACTGCTTCATAAAATTGGACCTCTCAGAAATACGCATATCCTGTGAACTACACCATTCCCCTTTTTTTGGTCTTGCACTGTCAATACTCACTGTAACAATAACCGTCACTGGTAACCTACCTGGTAAAAGGAAACGAGTTCATCTTTCAGAGTGATTATGATAAGATAGACAGCCTTTATCATAGAAATTGTAAGAAGTTCCGTATTTTCTTCGCCCTCTGTGTTTACCCTACTTTATGCAACACTTGGCTAAAGCGTATCCTGAAAAACGCGATGGAGTGTATTCAGTTTTTGCCGATAATATTCTTTTTGCTTCAGCATTTGATTCCCTGTTGATTTTAATTTGTTTATTTCTATGTGGCTATTTGAGCATGTCTTAAAAGATTTTGATGTTATTCTAGCTTCCTCTTCTAATCATTCTCTCTCTCTCTCTCTCTCATCTCTCTCTCTCTCTCTCTCTCTCTCTCTCTCTCTCTCTCTCTCTCTCTCTCTCTCTCTCTCTCTCTCTCTCCTCTCTCTCTCTCTCTCTCTCTCCTCTCTTCTCTCTCTCTCTCTCTCCTCTCTCTCTCTCTCTCTCTCTCTCCTCTCTCTCTCTCTCTCTCTCTCTTCTCTCTCTCTCTCTCTCTCTCTCTCTCTCTCTATCTATCTATCTATTATGCTATCTATCTCTCTATCTCTCTCTCTCTCTCTCTCTCTCTCTTCTCTCTCCCTCTCCCCTCTCCCTCTCATCCTCTCCTCCCCTCTCCCTTCCCTCTCCTCTCTCTCTCCTCCCCCTTCTCCTCTCCCTCTCCTCTCCCTCTCCCTCTCCCTCCCTCTCTCTCCTTCTCTCTCTCCCTCATCGCTTTCTCTCTCTTCTCTTCTCTCTCTCTCTCTCTCTCTCTCTCTCTCTCGTCTTCTCGTCTCTCTCTCTCTCTCCCTCTCCTCTCTCTCTCTCTCTCTCTCGCTCTCTTCTCTTCTCTCTCTCACTCTCTCACTCTCTCACTCTCTCACTCTCTCACTCTCTCACTCTCTCACTCTCTCACTCTCTCACTCTCTTCTCCTCTCTCACTCTCTCACTCTCTCTCGTTCTCGTTCTCTCTCTCTCTCTCTCTCTCTCTCTCCTCTTCTCACTCTCCTCTCTCTCTATCTATCTATCTATCTATCTATCTATCTATCTATCTATCTATCTATCTCTCTCTCTCCTTCTCTCTCTCTCCCTCTTCCTCTCCCTCTCCCTCTCCTCTCCCTCTCCCCTCTCCTCTCCCTCCCTCTCTCTTCTTCTCTCTCCCCTCCCCCCTCCTCTCTCTCTCTCCTCCTCTCTCCCTCTCTCCGCTCTCTCTTCTCTCTCCCTCTCTCTCTCTCTCTCTCTCTCTCTCTCCTCTCTCTCTCTCTCTCTCCTCTCTCTCTCTCTCTCTCTCTCTCTCTCTCACTCTCTCACTCTCTCACTCTCTCACTCTCTCACTCTTCTCACTCCTCTCACTCTCTCACTCTCTCACATCTCTCGCCTCTCACTCCTTCTCACACTCTTCTCTCTCTCGTTCCTCTCTCGTTCTCTCATCTCTCTCTTCTCTCTCTCTCTCTCTCTCTCTCTCTCTCTCTCTCTCTCTCTCTCTCTCTCTCTCTCTCTCTCTCTCTCTCTCTCTCTCTCTCTCTCATCTCTCTACTCTCTATAATATTATATATAATATATATATATATATATATATATGTATACTTATATATATATATATATATATGTATAGTATATATATATATATATATAATATATATATGTTGTGTGTATGTGTGTGGTGTGTGTGTGTGTGTGTGTGTGTGTGTGTGTGTGTGTGTGTGTGTGTGTGTGTGTGTGTGTGTGTGTGTGTTGTGGTGTGTGTATGTATATTATATATATATAATATATATATATATATATATATATATAATATATAATATTGTGTGTGTGTGTGTGTGTGTGTTGTGTGTGTGTGTGTATGTGTGTGTGTGTGTGTGTGTATTATATATATAATATATATATATATTATATATATATATATATATATATAATATATATCATATGTGTGTGTGTGTGTGTGTGTGTGTGTGTGTGTGTGTGTGTGTGTGTGTGTGTGTGTGTGTGTGTGTGTGTGTGTGTGTGTGTGTGTGTGTGTGTGTGTGTGTGTGTGTGTGTGTGTGGTGTGTGTGTTGTGTGTGTGTGTGTGTGTGTGTGTGTGTGTGTGTGTGTGTGTGTGTGTGTGTGTGTGTGTGTAGATAAATATAGACATGCAAACCTCGATCCTAAAATACGCAACAAACATGTATGACATATGGAACGACATTTTTTTTTCAATACATGTACAGAATATGCCATAATTAAGCAAATGTAGATATGTATAGCGTTAGTATTTTGCCAAAACTTTGGATAGTATTTACAAAAGACGAAAAAAAGGGCAACCGGGCATCCCTCGCGCACCGGAGTACAACCGCCCGGGCTGACGAAAACACGTGTTGGGACTTCTCTCAGTTGGTCGCGCTGTCCCTTAATTTCTAGTGAATTATCTGTGAAACACCGTCCAAAAGGCGGTATATAACGCCACCATGGGAGGGACAGTTAAGGTCAAGAAGGTAAGATGATGTGCAATTGATGTGAGGCAAGTAATGATTGGGAAATGCGGTGATTGTAATGTGTGGTGGAAGCTGTTGTCTGTAAGGTCTAGGGAATGGATGCGAAGAAGCGTGTTTGGTGCTTCACGAAATCGCATATTTAGGTTCAGAGTTACAACGTTGTCTTAAGACGAAGATGGTGATCAAATAATTTTCGAGGGGGTAATAAATTCATCCCGAAATTATTGGGTGTTCTTTGGCCCTGATTCCCCTGATGGAAATAAGGGGGATATCTTTGAGTATAAGCCCTTAAAACACTAGCACCTTTCCTAGCAATTAGTGTGTCTGTATGAACTTTCCATGTGCAAATAGACTGACCCTATCACAAAGCCAAGGGTATTTACAGCAGGAGAAAGCGTACAACTGCCATGTGGGAGCCATGTCGCCAAGTCAGTGATTGTTATTGATTGCGACGCACCCTCCTAAAGACTGAGTTGAAAAAATTTGTTTTTCTGCTGGAAATCCAATGATTTCATTGATTCTTGGCATTGTATATTTTGCAAATGAATTGTTGAGGAGATCGAGTACCATTTCTCCATTAGCGATCTTGATTTGATAGTCCCAATTGCAGGGGAGGGTATGAAGTATATTAGGGAAATTACGAGGTAAAACGGGTTATAATAAGAAAAATTGAGAACAAAAATGAGTAAAACCAGCACAAGAAAACACTTGAAATCAACCAATGAAACTCTATAGATATAATCACCATCTTTGAAATTCTACAGACTGACACGGCAAAATCCAGAAAACTCTACGGAAGCCCAACCCACCTTCCATTAAAATGTACGGGAATTCACACTTTACAAAACCTCCCAAAATGTACTGACCAGTAAACCAACCATAATCATACAATTTAAGTTACTGTGACTAGGCGTGCCCAGGTTGATAGGGATTCTGCCCACCAACAACTCCCAGGAAACATTCTCTTTGCCTCGGTATGCACGGCACAATAGAGCTGTGTTCACACTATTGAATGATAAACCAAATACCTTTATACCTGGAAACATCAAAGTTTCTTTCGCTTCTCTCCAACATCTGGATTGCTTCGATTTTAATTTTTTTTTTTTTTCGGCATTTGGGGCACTTGATTGGCTCAGGTATTAAACTGGGATGGTTACTAAAGTCTCAATCTTCTTCATTGCCACTGTATAGTTCTAAGAATCACCCAGAATCAACACAACACTGGAAATGCAACATTTCTCATTGGCTGCCTGTCAAGGAGTGACTGGCTTCAAACTGTCAAACCTCCTGTTGGCGACAAAGTGTGAAGTGCACGATAATTCTAAATAAGTTGATAGATAAATCTTAAAACACTTAAATGAAGTAGGCCTATTATAACATTAGTAAAAGACTTCAAATTTAAAAGCATAATTGTGTAACAGCAGACACTGATAATTAGACAAGTATCGTTTTGACAAGTGTGTAGTAACACACAAACTACATGGGATATCTCAGTAATGAGTTATGTGGTCAGTGTTGTGCTATTCTTGCCATGTAACACACACACACACACACAGTGAGAGTGAGAGTGAGAGTGGTGTGTCCAGATACATGGACTAAATAAAAAGACTTTTTTCCAAGATTTATAGCTATTAACCTTTTTCCAGGGGATGAAAGGAGAGGCGTACAAGTATGTCACAAGAACGTATGCTATGAAGAAATTGCAGCTGAACCCTGCTGATTTCCGCCGCCTCTGTATATTGAAAGGAGTGTACCCACAGGAGCCTAAAAACAGAGTTAAAGCACAGCGTGGGAAACATGGAATCAAGCTCTTGTATTTAAGGAAGGACATCAGGTTCCTTATGCACGAGCCTATAATATGGAAGTTCCGAGACAGAAAGGTGGGTGATCTGATTTTATGATTATTATTTTATAAAAAAAAAAAAAAATCATGTTGCCTTTTACATGAGTTTGTTTAGCTCTGCATAGAGAGCAATAATGTTGATAAATAGATGATTAGAATAATGGCTTTTAAGGGAATAGCTCTTTTTTATATATCTCTTCAGCCCATTGTTCCCACTGACTCTGTATATGTTCCACTGCACAGATCAAAAGGAGGAGGTTGCTCCACGCTGAAAGGAAGGATGACCGGGATAAGAGGAGGAGTGTGAGGCAGTTTGAGATTGACCCCAATTTGGATCACATAATCCTGGAGCGATATCCGACCTTCATTGACGCAGTTCGTGACCTGGATGACCCTCTCACAACATGCTTCCTCTTTGCCAAGTTGTGCAAATCACTGAGAAGAAAACAAAGTGAGAATTTATTTTTCTTCTTTTACCTGTTTTTTATGTTCTCCTCTCTCTCTCTCTCTTCATTTACTATTTCTTCCTATTTCTGTCTCGTCTCTCTGTCTCTGTCTCTCTCTCTGTCTCTGTCTCTCTCTCTCTCTCACTGTCTGTCTCTTTCTGTCTCAGCCTCTCTCTGCTGATTCTTCTTGAGTAATAAGCTTTCTTGTCTGAATGGTAACACAAATGGTCATGTAAGATTTTTTGTCCTTCCAGCCCTGGTCCACATGTCCAACATGCTGACGGTAGAGTTCATGCATTATGTGATAGCTGCTCGTTGTCTGAAGAAGGTTTTCATCTCGGTCAAAGGCTATTACTACCAAGCTGACATT